TCGTATAATAATAACTTTTTTGAAAGGCATTGATAATATTTTCAGGTAACAATGTTTTTATTAATTTTTACATAATAATGTCGATGAGATATTATTAGTTTATATTTTAAAATATTATGTTATTTATTTGAGAATCTTACGCAAATACTTTTTAGATTAGCTCCCTAATTAGCTCCCTCCCAGCTTTTTCTCTCTTTTACTTTAAAATCTGCCATTATTACCTTTATTATACGTTATTCGGAAAAGGTTCTTTTCACGTCTTAGTCTTTCCAGCACGATAAACTCTGCGTACGAAGGGTGCTCTCGCCACGGGTTTCTCGCGTGTGCATTTTATCGTGCGGAATCGCGTCGGCCGCAGTTTCCGCAGGAGTGCCATTAGTGGGCCGCGGAGAATTGTCGGTGTTCGTCTACGGGACTTAGCCATTGCGATCCTGAAAACTTGAACGATAGTAATAACAATTTGCTGAAGCTACTGAATTCGCCGAATGTGCCCCCGGTGAGTGCGGGGAGAATCAGCCAGCGAGATTGGCGGTATAAATCGCCATTTGCTTTCAATGTTTAATACAATCGTACGTAACCGATTTTACTAGAGATTAAGCAATAAAGGAATTATTGGCGCCTTTGAAATAAGTTTGAACAATTAAAATGAGAAGGCGACCAAGCGGCTACTTTCGTCGCCTTGAAAACAAACTTAGACCACGTGTCGCGGAATTACGTGCAACATGGCGTCTCTCTCTCTCTCTCTCTCTCTAGGAATATAAATATATTAAGTAGTAGGAAGTTGTAGGAAGCGATTAAGGGAAGAAAAATATATTTGCCATGCGGAAATTGTTGAAACCAGTGGCCTCGCCGGAGGACATGTGTAATATATGAAACGATTAATAATAATTTGCGGCCGCGTGTTAAGCAGCTTTCAGCTGCCATATTGCACAGCACAGTCCATAATCCGGAGGAGCGCTCCGGTGCACCTCGTCGATCAAAATGGTAAATCAACGAATCATAGCGGGAATCTCACCCTCATGGTGAGATAATACATTCAGATACATATGTATCCACGCACTAATATCTCGTTTCTCTCATGTACTGTGCATTACACGCATGGATGTACTATATTAAACTGGGAGCACCGCGATGCGAATAATGGAAATCATCTCCAAGTTAGCCGGCAGCGACGTCGGGTATATCTTACAATGACGAACCTCGCGGAAATATCCGATAAAAAGATATGAAACCGCAAAAATAATCGTGTTTATCAAGGGAGGTTGACATGGCGAATGTGAAAATAGTAAATTTTATTTTCGTCTCAATAATTTGAAGATCCATTATTCCGCATGTCCGATAATAGATTTACATACATGCATCTCGTATGAGAGAGGCCATTACCGATGTATAAATCGTTGAATATTTTAGAATATATCGTACATTGCAATATAACACATCTGTGTGCGTATAAATGAGCGAGTATCTCCGAAAGAGAATTCGTATTCCCGATTCGCGTTTCATCACTTTTTTAATTGCCGCTATTCTTCCCGTCATATGTAACGGCTTTTACGCTCTGCTTATGAGCTTCGTTCGCGTACGTTGGAATCTTCTTTCACGCGAAATTGCGCCCCGACGTCGCGCGATGCATCGACCGCGCGACCGATTTGTTCGGCCGTAAGTTAATATCGGACTTTCAAGAAAAATCAGACGCCGAGTGTAACGTTGACGTTGGAAATGAGTCGCCGCTTTCGTGAGTGGAACTTCAACGAGAAGCTTATGAACTCGGTTCTTCGCGAAATGGTCACGTACCGACGCGGAAAAACGTTAAGTAGACGCGCCACGGGACGCATTAGCTGTCTCAATAAAAGGTCAATTAATTAATGATATATGACTGACGATGAAAATCGTTCGACGTTGTCGCTCTAACAAAATCTATAAACAATAATTCGAAATTGAAACGTACAAATCACATTGAGAGAAATGTTCAATATGAATAATAAAAATTTTGTTACTGACATTAAAATTATTTGTTGATATATGACCAATTAAATCATTGATTATTACGCCGATATGAATTTATTAAATACACACACAAAATACACACACACACACACACACACACACACACACACCTACAC